GCAAGGGTTTAGGAGGGATTGCATTTTTTCCCTCTCCCAACCGCAGACTCTCCCCCTGCGATACCCGAGCCACGATTAAAAACTCAGGGCTCCCATTCCTGTTTTTCATTCCATTGTTCCATTCATTGTGTGGGGGATTTAACAGCAGCAGCAGCATCCACAGCCCACATATTGCTGGAACCTCCCCAGAGGCCAATATCTCCCTTCTCATTTGTAGTTACAAGGTGAGCATATTTCACTAGAACACTCTCAGTCTTAGCTGCCCTGCATGTCTGTCCATGCACTCACTCAGATGCTGTCTCTGTCTATACCTGATAAAGATATTTTTGCCTGGATTTAAATATAACTGAAGAGTGGGGAGGGTGGGATGAAAGCTCAGCCAAGGGAGAACCTGCTCAGCAACACAGGAGTCCCAGAGCCCTCGCGCTCAGGTAGGTCCCCACTGCTGACAGGCTGCAGCAGGGCACAAAGCAGAGCTCTAGGCTTGGCTTTGGAGCAGGAACAGCCTGGCTTTGGCAGCATGGAGCCCTCACAGGGTAATTATCCCTCGCAGCTCCAGGGGCAAACACAAGGGCTTGAACAGCTGCAGCTTCAAGTCACAGTTTTCCTGATTATTCCCTTGCCCTTCCTTAACAGATGGGGTTTATTCAAGGGATGACTCACCTGGACTGACAGAATGAATCTGAATATTCTTCTGTCAAACTGCATCCCGCTCTCAGGAAGCTCCCCAGAAAACCCTCTGGGCTAACCCAGGTGATCAGGGAAGCTTTTTGCTCCCCAGCTCCAGAGTTACCATCTCTCACCAACTCCTGAGCACGGGAATATTTTGTTATTTTTTGTGTTCCAGTCCCCTGGCTTTGTGGATCACTTTATTTTACAGATGGAGTACCTTAAAGTTTGTTAATTGACTTAAAAGTGCTTTTTATTAAAGTCAGCTGAAAGCAGAAGTACAAAAAGAAAATTTACCACATTTAAAGCAGACAACCCAGTATTAAAAAAAAAAAATCCTGCATAAGAGGTTTGATGTTGTTTACAACAAAAACCACACAGGATAAAGCATATTTTTCTTTCTGTGTAAGGCTGAGATAATGACCACCCCCTACTCCACCTCCAGAGAGCCCTGAGTTACAGACCCTGCAATCTTTTATATCAGAGATGCCTCTTCAGCAATTGATTTCAAGCCTCAGCTGAGCCTCTGAGCCCTCCTCCCTCCCAGGTTCTCTAACCCTGCCTGGAGGAACTCCCCCAAACCAGCCTTGAAACTGCTGAATGCCCTCTGGCATGTCTGAGTGTCTTAATCACCCAGGCAGCAGCAAAGCCAGAGTCAATAACCACCAGTAATCAACTCGACCATCACTAAATTATTCAGCTGGCAGCGAAGCAGTGCCCCCACCCTGCAAAGAAAATGTTTGTATCTTAGAGCAGTGCCTGTTCCATGTGCTGCCAGGAATCAAATCCCAGAAGATTGACTGTCCTGGATTACAGAAAATCATTGCAAGTTGTCAGCTGGGCAAGATGTGGCAGCATTCACCCACCCTGGGATGAGAATGGGGTTTCAGAGATTCATGGGATGGTTTGGGTTGGGAGGGACCTCAGAGCCAACCTCATTCCATCTCCTGCCATGGGACACCCTCCACTAAGCCCTGTTCAACACCCACAGCCTCTCTGGACAAAGCCCACATCCCATCTGGATGAGTACAATTTAAAGCAATTCCTTGATGCTCTGTTCTCTGTGGATTTTAGAAGAAAATCTCAAGGGTGTCCTGAGCCTGTTAGAGCCTCAAACCTCATTTCAGGGATGTTTCTGAAAACACTTCTTTTTTCTCCCCCCTGTTTTAAATTCCCACTCTGAGGTTACTTTTACAAGTTTGATTGGACTACAACCAAAAAAAAAAATAAAAATTAAAATCACAAACTGAAAGCCCTGTGCTCCAGCCAGCTCCACTCTGCACTTTAATTGCTTTAAAGCAGAGGCCATGTGTTGTGTTCTCTCAGGGGTACGTGGGAAGGTGAAATGAAAGTGAGTGAAGAAAAAAAATACTTCATAAAAAATCAACACTTAAAAGAGAAATGAAATAGAAGTGCTCCAGGGCTAGAGCAGTCTGAAGATCACCAACATGAAGACAACTCCCAAGGACAAACCCTCCTTGCCCAAGCCTTTCGTGTATCCTTCCAGCTGCTGCTCCCCAAGCACAGAGCCCCAGTCCTGGTTTATAATACATCACTGGAAAGGGTTTGGAGTTTAGGGGATGGACATCTCCTCACCAAAAAACATTTCAGGAGTTAAGACATCACTTTCCAACCTCCTGAACAAATTAACCTCCCTGCTCACAGGCTGTATTTTTCAAGTCTCTACTTGGTGATTCCTGATGAGATTCCTGAGGTTATGACTTAAAAGTTGCACTCTATATTTCATTTTGCAGCAGCTTGTCCCTGGCTGCCAGATTTATTATTCCAAAAGCTGGGCCTGTACATCTTGTGCTCAAGGAAGATATAAAATATTCTGAGAGAGCTTTCCTATCCCATGTGAGCTGCTGTTGAGTACCCTCAGCTCAGCATTTTTAGATCAAGAGAGTTTTAGTACAATATGGGTGAGGCCCTTACAGGCTTGCCTTGTCCATTTTAGACTTGACACGTTCTGAGCAGCATTCCTGGCTTCCCCCATGCTGATAAATTACTTCTGAGATGCCAGGAGCTGGGGTTCATGTTCTTCAGGGGTTTGTAGGCACTTCTGCTGAAGCCAATTACAGTTCATTCTAATTTCTCTGCACTGCAGCAAACCATGTGTCTCGGACACAAAACTTCTGCCACACGAGACCCTCAGGACTGATGAACTCCTTTGATTTTGCCTTTTTTAAAATACAGAAGATGTCCACCTGTGTAACTGAGTTAAAGCCAAATGACAGAGAGCAAGACAGAGACATCACTCAGCTCCATGGACCTGTTTTGTCATATTTTCTCTCTAAGCTGTGAAACACAGAAAGACAGAAACTTTCCAACAGCCTTGAGTAGTATTTGCTTTTACTCCTCATTATGTCATGAGAACTTCGTTCCAACTCTTTACAAAAAGTTTTCTGACTCCAGGGCAAAAAATTAAAAAATAAATAAATAAAAATAAGGCATCAAAATAATTTGGAAAAGATCAGAAGCACAAAGTAAACAGAAAAATGGGAGGTTCCATGCCATGCAAGTGGAGGATCTCTAAGGTTTCCAACCCAAACTCTTGCAGGATTCTGTGATCCCACCAGTTCCTACCTTGAGGAGAAGGGTTTTCACAGGCTGTTTTGGAGAAGGAAGTTATGGAGAATCCCAGAGAGGGTCTGTGCACATGGCAAATGGTCAGGTTAGGCTGTGGTTTCCCAAAAGCACCTTGTTTCCTATGAAACACCATTTCTTGCCTTTCAATGAGCAGATTCAGAATCATGAAAAGAAACAGGGACTCATTTTGGGTAAGTCCTGTAAGCTGAGGATCTGAAAAGTGGGGAGTTGGACCTCCTTCCCTTCATGGTTTCAGTTATTGCACTCCAGTGCATAGACTTTTAAAATCAACTCCTAGGAGGACACTTTAATGAATAAACTAATGAAAGCATAATACTTAACCAAAACCATTTACTCAATTTAAAGAATAAAACCCTTTGCATTTTTCTCATCTGCTCTGTAAGGCAGTTATTTACAATTTTCATTTATTTATATTAAAATCTCATGAAAGACACACACCATATATTGCATCTGACAGACTGCCATGTATTATTTCCAAATTCCAGTTAAATGAAAAAGCAAGGAGATGACTAACACCAAACAACTTATTTGAATTTACTCAACACTGAGGAGCTTGACAAAAAAAAAAGGGGACTGGGGACAAAACTGTGCATGGCTGGAAAGAGTGAAAACTAACCCAGCTCCATCTCCATGGGAAACAGAGCAATTCACCCCAGCTCTACATAACTGGAGACTGGGATAAATGGGACCAAAAATGGAACTTTTTCCAATTTCAGCTTTAATGCTGTAAAAGATCCAGCCCACACTCTGCAAAACAAAAACTTTCTTTTTCCTTTTGATTTCCTTTCTTCTTTCCTTTCAATTTTTTTCCTCTGGAAGAAGACTACTTACTACATTGCAACTGTCTGTACCTGCTGACACTCACTGCACTTTGATGCTTAATGATGCACCACTGTGATATTCTGTGATATTTTTGTGATATTTTGGGGAAAAACTGCATGTACCAGAGCAGTTCCACTGCCTGGAGAGTCTCTGTGTCAGGGAATTCAGGAGAACCCAGCAAAGACACCTCTGCAACTAAAAAGAAAAGACTAAAAGAACTGAATTTGACATTTGAAAAACCCAGACTGGCTTCTCTTACACTGTAGCAAAGCATCTCTGAAATAGGAATTGGAGAGGAGACAGCAGAGGCAGAGAAGGGTTTAGCATCACTGATTTGCTGAGCTCACGCTTGAACTGACACATTTTAATTCATCTGAAGATAATTTTTTTAAAAAACAGCATATCCAGGAGGCAGATTAAGACAAAAGACACAGAAAACAGTAAAAGATTACCTTTGGTTTACCTCTGTTCTGCAAGGGCCTTTGCTGGCAGGCAGATAAATCACAGTTTGTTTAAACAGCTACTGAGCATTTCTGCTCTCAAGACAGAGGTGTTATCCTTGCTGAGACAGCTCTACCTCTGCAACATTAATTTCTAGTCCAGCTATTCTGGTAACTTTAGCTGCTTCCAACTCCTGATTCACAATGGTCAAATAAAACAAAACACATCTGCAACCTCTGACCACAGCAGAAAAACTACTGAAACACAAACAATTTAAACAGGAGCATCATCTGATCTGGCACAAGGCAAAACCACCAATTTTTTATTGGAGGTTACAGTTGGCTTGTTCTCCCTGTCTTCAACAGTTTATTAGAGTAATTACATATTAAGGGCATTATTATTTTCCAAGTTCTCTTTGTCTTTGTCCTGTAATAAACATGATTTGAACAGAAACTCACCAGGGGAGTGTCTTTTCCCCCCACAATGCTGAGCCCGAGGCCTGAGCGACCCTTGGAGATCTCGATGGTCATCTCCTGCCCTGGAACTATGGGACAAGTTGCTGGATCCACAGGCAGTGGAGGTGGGAAGAGACCTGAGAACATCAAAAGGGAAAGAATTAAGTCACACAACACAGTAAGAAAATGAATACCACCACAGGAATTAGCGAGAACAGCTAATTAAGCTTTTGTTTGCTCTCCACTTTAATAAAACTGAACTAGAGGACCACTCTGAGTCACTTCTGAAGTCTCTAAAGCAGAGTGACTTGAGCTCTGGGAATAAATGCTCCCAGTAAAAGCCTGTGAGGACATCTAATTCAGTTTTGACCTCTACAGTTCAGATCATGATGGAAAGGGGTATTCCTTTCAGGATAGATAGAGCCATATTCCAGCACCATGGAATGAAAAGCATGCCCCAAACTGTCTTTCCTTCTATTTCAATTGAAAACAAGATCATCTTTGTATGTAAAAGTCAAGAAAAACAAGTGAAGACACCTTCAAGCTCTTAAAAACTGTGACAGGAGAGAAAAATACAAACAGGTTATAAAATAACTTAGGTCATTGGATGTTCAAAGAAACAAAACTTCAGCAAAAGTTATCTGGAAAACAAAATGAAAACATCTCTCTTGGGTTAGGGTACTAAAAATACATGGAATGGTGGCAGAATCACTGGCTCCTACCACAGCTGGTGACTTCTGCTTCTGGAGAAAGGTAAGGAGGTGCTGGCTCCAGAGGTATCTCCTGGGAGCTCACTGGGGCTTTCGTGGAAGATTTGGGCTGTTTGATCTGGTTGAGGACCTGAAAGCAAAGCAGAAGCAAGAGAGAGCAGTTATCACCACAGGAAGGCATGGTATGGTGAGGTCATTACCATCAGCTGTTGACTGTTGTGCCTCACTAAATCATCAAAATCAATAAAAGGAAAACAAGCCATTTCCACACATTTAACGAGGAGCCAGTAATTTTTTACATTTCCATCAATAAAATTATTTTAATGTCTTCCCAGTTAATCCCTTCCCCCCATGAATCACTCAGTCTTCAACCAAATAAAACCCTCAGAACCCTCCCTTACTGGATAACATGAACACACAAACATTTTCCTGAACACACATACATTTTCTGGGAGCTGCTCCTCTGTCTCCTGCTGATCTGCCACCACTGGTGTGTCAGCTTTACATTTCACATCCTAAAAAGTCAAAAAAAAAAAAGCGAGGTGTATTGAAAATGTCTCAACAGCCTCAATAAAATCTCCTCCAAAAATCAGAATGATGGTTCTAGAGAAATGCAGTGATGTTTTGGAGGGACAGGACACAGGGAAGGGCTTCCCACTGCCAGAGGGTGGGGTTGGATGGGATACAGGGAAGGAATTCCTGACTGGGAGGGTGAACAGGCCCTGGCACAGGGAAGCTGTGGCTGTCCCTGGATCCCTGGCAGTGCCCAAGGCCAGGTTGGAACAACCTGGGATAGTGGAAGCTGTCCCTGCCATGGCAGGGGTGGCACTGGATGGAATTTAAGGTCCCTCCCAACCCAAAGCAGTCTGGGATTCCATGATTTCTCCATCTAAGTCCATTTGTACCAGCAAACCAAGCTGAAGCCCAAAACTTCAAAGAGGCAAAGCTGCTGTGAGCACAGGGAGTATCAGGAGTTATCAACATCACAGCCCTCAGTTCTGAGGGCAAGCAAACAGGAGGGGTTTTCGGGGAGGAGATTATCACACATGCTCTGGGTTGCTCCAGAGCAACAGGAAGCTCTGGAATGACTGGAACAGCAATTCCCAAGCTGAGTGCAGGGACCCCTCAGTGCCCACAGCAGAAAGGGGCTCCAAGTCATCTGCTCTGCCCTCCCCATCCTTTTTTGGCTCTGCTAAATAAAGCAACTGCTTAAAATGCATCCTCCAGCCTCATTAAAAAGATCTCCAACAATGTACTTCAATCACTGACTCCACTTGTAGCCTAATTTATTTCTGTACCTTTTCTTTGTAATGCACAAAAAAATATTTGTATCTCCTACTTCTCCAACTGCTTCCAGGCAAGGTACAGTGCCCTCCCTTGTTAGCTCTTCACTAAACTTAGGCCACTTTGATCCAAGTAATAGTTAATTTTCTCATCCCATATTTAAAACCCCTGATAAACAGCCTAGTCTGCAAAAAAAAAAAAAAAAGTACCAACTTCCAAAGATTACCTCAAATCTTTTTCAAATATTCAAAAGTTACTCTGCACCTCAGAAAGAATTTCTAATTACGATGATAATTTCTACATTAAAAAAAGGTAAAGAGAACTGTAGGTAACTCAGCTTGGAAATACTGGCCTTGTTTGCTGGACTTTTATTATGTTAAAAGATGCCAACCCCCACAGGATCCTTTTCTTTGCCCCCCTTGAATTTTTCGCTGAGCTTGTTGCAACTCTTCAACTGCAATTATTATCCAAAAAGATAACAGGAAAAAAGATAAAGTGGTGATCTCATTGTATTATCAGAGGTGTCAGGGGAGAAATGGGAAGACTGCTTTGTCATTTTCTGAGAGACTGTTTTAATGAGCAATGAAAAATTACTTCATACTTCCCTTTTTCATTGTGATATGTGACTAAAATCTGAAGCTTCATCTTGCACCACAAGTAAGCACCAGGCACCACCTTTACATCTCCCTTAACTGAGGCTGTGCTAGAGGTACCTGAACAAAATGAGCACCAAATACACTCAGCATTTGTCAAAAGCCTGCAGCCCAACTGGTTTAATCAAATTCAAGCCCCTCAACTCCATCCCAAAGCACTTTTACACAGCCCCTCCTCTTTGCCAGTGTTTCAAGGATGTGTTTTCTGTTTGTGGTGAAGACAGATTATTGTTCCAAGTTCAAACCTTTAAAGGCAAATTAATCCATTCTCACATACCATTTTCACTTTGTCAGATTAACTCTTCCAAGAGCACAAAAGCCCCCTCCATCAATTCTTTTCCAAGGACACCTTATGGAAAACCAGATTTCTTCAACCCCCAGAAACCCAGGACCTTCCATGAGGCCACCTCAAACTCCAGCTAATAAACACACAGACTTTGCCTAACACTTCCACTGGCTCCAGTTCAGAAACAAAGTTGTTTTCCTTCCCCTTTCTTATCATCCAAGCCTACAGTGATGTCCATTATAAAACTTTATAGCTTTTAAAGTGATGAAGTGACAACAAAGAGTATGTTGTGAGAGACTGACAAATTTATCAGCAACAGATGAATAGAGAATGACGTGAATTTTTTAACTTTCCTTTTATTACAGCTGTCACTTGGTGAGACATCCTGCCCATGCTTTGAGCTGTACATACTTGTGGAAGATCTCTGCTGATAAGCACATACTTTTTATTTACTCTGTGAACTTGATCTCACTTGTTGACTTTTACATTCCTGATTTCTCCTGGCACATGACTGAGAAATTCAGCAACAATGGTGAGGTAGCACTGAGGCTCTGGTAGCAACATCATTCTATGAAAAACAAAGCACTGTTTTCTTTTGCTTCCACAGTCACTAGAAGACTGCAAGACAAATCTCCCTTCCCAAAATCACCAATTCCTGTTGTCCTGCACTGCAGAGTCAAAGCCTTAATGCCAATTGTGCCTACAAACCCACTCCCTTCAGGCCAGAACCATCAGCACGCTCCCAAAACTGAGATCCACTCAGAAATATTTCCTGTGTAGTTTTAAGATCCTGATGGTAAGAACACTCTGGCATTTTGAAAAAATGGTTTTTGCCATTATTTTTCACCCATTTATACCCCTAAAGCAAGGGCTGGCCCAACTGAAGGCATTATGGAATGAGCAGTTTGGTCTACAGGGATGCCAATACTTTTCTGAGTGCCTCCTCTTACCTCTCTGCCATTGCTCTGTTTTGGACAACTCTTTTTCTTTCTTTTCTTTTGCCTTTCAACTTGTGCTCTTTGGCTTCACAGTTCCCTTCTTTCTTGCTCCAAGTCTGAAAAGGAGCTGCCAATATATTCTGGGTTTCCTGTGGTTCCAGAGGCATCTTCCCTCCACACCTACCTTGGATTGCTGCAATTTCTTTTTCCCATTAAATTCACCACAGCCTACACCTAAAGTTCACTTCTGTGTAACATATTTTATGTATTTTTATTTCCTTCAGTCTCTGAGCAATTTCTCACTTCACCTTGCAATCCCTCTCAAATTTCTTGCCAAGTTGAGCAAGAACTCCAGTAAAACCAGGTGAATGACACCTGCAGATACATACAGGGGAACTCTGATTCATTTCTATTCCAGCCCATCAGAGGAATCTGCACTGGGCTATCAAACAGCAATAACTCAAACTTTTTGTAATCCATTAGGGACATAAATCAATCCATGGGTGATTAATTCTGATGCTTGAATAGCACATAACACTTCCTAACTCTTGGAATTTGCAGACTCATTAATTGAACACTCACCAGCTACAGAGCATTATGTATATTCAATTCCTATTTGCAAACCCCAAGACACTCCTTGCAAGAGACATGATGGAGCAGGAAGAAGGGGAAAAATATGAAGAAATGTCAGGTTTTCTTAGCTGAGGACACACAGCAAATCCTGCTCTCCTTGAAACTGCAGTAGGCAGCAAAAAGACTCTCTCAGCAAATTCTGAGGTATCTCCAAGTTAGTCATGTTTAGTGTTTTCCACTTTAAACTTTTACCACAGTGTCCAAACAGAAGAGATCAGAGCTGCACCCTGAAGGACTTTCAGATTCCTGATAATGCATGATCCTGACCTATTAAACAACAAAAAACTCCATCTGAATCAATGAGCTCAGTATTTATTACAGTGCACACTGACAGAACCACATTAAACTACAAGTTATGGTCCTAATGCAGAAATCACTGAGAGCAACTCTGTAGCTGTGTTATTCAGGAGGCAAGACTAGATTATGATAATAGACATCTTGGCCTTAGAATTTATGAAGCCATGAATATAAATGAGAATATGATTTACAGACCAGGCTTTTTCTAAAGTTTGTCACACATGGATGGCAGGAGTGGAAAGGCAATCCTCTCACCAAGAACTCAAGAGAGGGCCAAAATGCTCTGTGAAAACTCTTATCTTGGTATTTTAACAAGTTATACCGAGTGCTCAGTTCACAAAAACAGGCTGTGTATGTAAAGCTGAGTTTGATTCTGCTTTTACACGTACTGAGTATTATTTGACAAAGGTGCTGCAACACTCCAATAAAAAGGCAGAGAAAACCAATCAAACCCCGTGAGCCTCCACATTCTAAACTCAAATCATCATTAAATATTGCCTCAAGTCACTCACAGCTTTGTTGGATTCCTCATCAGTCAAACTTTTCATGACAACTTCCAAACTCGGGTCTTCCTCGCCACTGGGAGGTTCGGTGCCACCGTGGTCCTGGGAGAAAGGATTGACAACAGCTTTTGAACAGAGCTCTGGCCCCCCATAACAGCTAAACAGAGAAACTAGACAGTTTCACCCTTTTTTGTTGGGTTTTTCAGACAAGGGGCAGCGTGACAAGGTAGAAAGATCCACAATTAGTCTCCCAATGTCAGGGGGCGAATGAGGGATGCAAGTCTGGGACAGCAGACCCTGGTCCTCACTTGGCTGACAAAAAGCACCATAAAATATTTCCAAAATTGCCCTTAGGGGCAGCTCTGGGGCAGCTTTCAAGGCCAGACTAATCCCTGTCAGCTGTGAAAGCTGTGGACTTGGAATGAAGAGCCTTTCTCCAGATCTCTGTCACACACTCAGCACATCAAAGGAGTCCCAGTTTCCTTCACACAGTCTGAACAGCTTGGGAAAATCATGGAATGGATTGGGTGGGAAGGGACCTTAAAGCCCATCCAAGGATGGCAGGGACTCCTTCCACTGTCCCAGGCTGCTCCAACCTGGCCTTGGGCACTGCCAGGGATCCAGGAAGCCTCTCTGGGCACCCTGTGCCATGGCCTCAGAGGGAACAATTCCTGCCCAAGATCCCATCCAGCCCTGCCCTCTGGCACTGGGAGCCATTCCCTGGCTCCTGTCCCTCCATCCCTTGTCCCCAGCCCCTCTCCAGCTCTCCTGGAGCCCCTTTAAGCTCTGAGCTCTCCCTGGATTTTTCCCTTCTCCAGGTGAACATTCCCAGCTCTCCCAGCCTGGCTCCAGAGGGGCTCCAGCCCTGGAGCAGCTCCGTGGCCTCCTCTGGACCCTGGACTCAAAACAAAACTGTTCTGAACTTTCATCAGACATTTCACATTTAAGCAAATAACTCAAATGTCTCGACCACCACTTGAGTAGACAAAGCCCCTCTGTTCACAGTTGCAAAAAAATACCTCATTCTGTGGCTTTTTGGTGATTGAGACTTCCAAAAACATATTTTGCAGTAATTAATATTTAATATACTCTGTTTCTGGGAGCTTGCCCACAGTATCACACCACAACACAGCCTTATCCTGTCCTGTAAGACCCTGAGTATTTACTGTTTATCACTTTTCATGCAACAAAGATAAAGAGATAAGCTGCAGATAAAGAGATAAGGATCAAGAGATAAGCTGAAGAAAACTAACACAATGATCCGTGGTAACTATGGCACCCTGATATTCCATTCCACCAGCCAGGCTGTTTAATGGGATCTGACAAGTTACATGTAGGGTGCATGTAATACACAATGTTAAATATTTATGTAGTATTTCAAAGATATTTGAAGATATAATTTCAAGATATAAGGCTATTTTTTTCTTTATTTAAAGAGAGGAAGAGCTGCCAAAGAAAGCAATGTAAACTTCTGTATAAATCACTATATTTGGTTATGTTGATTTTATATAAAAATAAGATACCAGCTAGAATTAAAAACTTGCATTTACTTATAAAACAAACAATGTAAATAGTAAGAATTTGCCATTAATGCATGAAACTCAGCCCACAAGCATCTACCTCTAAAGGCAAAGACACACTTTGGTAGAGTCTAATTACAGCCATTTGACCACAGTACAGAATGTGCCTAAACAAAGCTTTGTGATTCATCCTGAAGGCACAAATATTAAACAAAGCTGGGAACAAATGCAGGTATTAAAGAGTCAACAGAATCAAAATGAACTCTGTGAAATGTAATTTATAAAGCACCAGCTGCACCTGGGACACACTGCTGGTGAGGAGGAGAGAAGGAAAAGCCAAAGCACTGTCCAAAAATGACTGAGATCCAAATACAACATGAGCAGTTCTTGCTCTGTACAGCTCTAGGCCTGCAAGGAGCAGCCATCAGTGGTAACATCATCTGGAAAACAACAGCAAGAGTGCAGACTGGAGATGCATCCAGTGCTACCTCCCGTGGCCCCGTGCTGAGGGATCCCAGCCACACTCATGGAAATACCAGGAGTTCAATGCACGTGAATTTATCGAGGCAAGACCAAACCCCAATTGAATTACAAAACATCTTCTGCTTTATTAGCTCAGATAGAAATAGAATTAAAAAGCAGCAGCAAGGCTAGCCGTGTAGTTTATCCAGAAAATTTAGTTACACGATATTGAGATGTCAAAATGATAACGAGTGTGGTGACTGCAGGGATTCCTCCTGCACAGGGGAGCAATCAGTCTGCACTGGGGCTGAGGGAGCAACAAGAATCACAAAAAACACTGGCAACATTACCACACTTCGACTGTTTTTGCTTTGGAAGATTATTCCAGGCAAAACTGCCTCGCCACAACTACTCCAGCTGAAAAAGGAGCAGGACAGGAGGTGGCAAGGTTTTAATTTGGAGCCTTCCTCTTCCTCCTGTACAGCAGTAGCCTGTTTAATACCTGCTGTTAATGGCATGCAGGTCTGTCAGTAACAACCAGATCAATAAAAAAGAGACAGGGCAAAATAAGCCTATTAGGCCAAGTCTCTACCCAATGCATTTTACAATCCTGGGTTTAATTAGACAAGGTGCTCGAACTTATCATGAGCTGCTAATTATGATTAATCTATCCAATTTAGCAGTCTCTAATTAAAAACAACATCCCACAAACCTTACCTCAATAGCAGAGTGGGAGCCTGAAGGCAGTGGGAAGGGAGTGACAGCCATCTGGTTGACTGCATCTTCACTTCTGTACAACACATCAACAACACGTTACACACCAAGCCAGGGTGGACAAACTTCTCCTTTGAGTTGGTTCTGCTCACTAACAAAATACCCTCCCTAGCATGACAACTGTTTCTCACCAGAGTCAGTGTTTAGAAAATCACTTCATTTTTGCTCTGGTTCCTTGCTCCCCAACAGATCACATCCCTCCATGGGACCAGAGGAGGCTCATCTGGGACACACTGACGTCATGTCCTTCGGAAATCTCATTTTGTGTGGATTGTCAGAGGATGCAGTTGGAGTTTATGGTCTCTACACATCCATAGATGTGCTCACACTCACATACAAGTTGGCCTCTTTCAATCATCTCTACATCTGTAAACTGCTTATTTATAATTTCACATTCATGTTACTGAAATACAATACCTGCTCTAATATCACAGATTGCTTTTTCTTTTTTGTTCATTTTTGCTGTGGTCTTTTATAAGATTCAATGTAAAAACTTGGAAGAGATTTTATAAAATGCAGGGAGAAGAGGAGATAAACACTGATTCTCCCTGCATAAAAAGTGAATTATTTTTCCAAATGTTTATGATCTACGACATCTTTCTCTCTCTCTTTAAAACACCCCTGAAGTTGACATCAGATTACTTTGTATTTTTATTTAACAGCATTCTGCCTTGCTGATGTTTTTCCTCAACTGCCATTTAAACTGATTTGTTTTCTGGAATTAGCTCTGCATTTTTTTGGTCTCTATAAAACAAAACCAGGTAACAGATGACTTCAGTGGTATCATTTAAGGCAAATCATCACAGAATCACGGAATGGTTTGGGTTGGGAGGGACCTTAAAGCCCATCCAGTGCCACCCCTGCCATGGGAGGGACACCTCCCACTGTCCCAGGGTGCTCCAGCCTAAATCAGTGATGCTGCTGCTTCCCAGGTACAGTTCTTAGATAAAAGGAAGTGACTTTTCATGGCTCTTCCACGTTTGATTTCTGGTCCTCTTTACTCCATTCCATGTTGCTGTGACACGAGCAGAATTTTTTCCTCTTTAATTTCTGGAATAAACTATTAGACTATTATGCGTTTTAAGCACATTTTATGGAAGTGCCTGAAAGAAAATAGTCTCATTTTCCCCCCTGGAGAGTTAAAACACATGGAGCTAACATGTTCTGATCACTGAGAAATAACACTGTGAATCAACAGCTCCCAGCACAGAATGGGACTCACAGGCACTTGAAATGATTAATCCTGCAGGCAAAGGTTGGTGAATTCATTTACTTATCTTCAACCACACAGCCACACAATTCAAAGGAGCTGGCTGGGTGCTGCTCAGAGCTGTCCTGGCTCCCAGCCTCTCCTCCTGGCCCTGCTCAGAGCCTTGCAAGAGTGAGAACCCAGGCTGGGAGCGGGCTCGTGGCTGGAGACGTGGGGCCAGGACAGGCACAGAACCAAGCCCATGAATTTCATCAGCATTCCACAATTTCCAAGTGTGTTTTACCCCACAGGGCATATTGGGCAAGGACATTTTCCCTGCTCTTATCTTCGTGAGACATCAATCTCATTACGGTTGGTGCTTTTCTAACCTACAGGAATAAATCAGCACAGGAGAGGCACAGTGATTTTGTGATTTTTCCTGGACTGCAGAGGTTTTCCTGACAGTAGTTTATGTGAAGTACAATCAGCATGAAAACCAACCCCATTCTGCAGCCCACAATGCAGGCTGCATGCTGTGCAATTAGGAGGAAACATGGAAATAAAGAGGAATATATATATATATATATAAACTTCTGTGAGAAATACTCTAAAAATTGCTAGACAGAAGCTTCATGGCAAACTGGGGCGTAATTAATTATCCAAACTAGTTTTCACTTCATACACACACACCTTTTTATTTTTTTCCATCAGTGGGGAAAAAAAATCTTTATGCAGCTTTAAGTGGATGGCCATTTTTATTCCAAACAATAAAAAAACAGTAATGGTAATTCCCCAGGGGAAAAAAAAAAAAAAAAAAGGCAAAAATACAAAAAACCCCAAGGTTATGCAGTGTCACAACTTGTAATCTCCCCCTGCTAGGACTCGTACATATTTAAATACTTTAATGCTGCTTCAAAGGAGAATGCTTCAAAGCGGAATCAAAGCGGGAATATATTTTAAAGTGACAGATCTAATAATAAATTGCTGTTTCTGCTCTCCACTTCCACAAGTGTCCTCAACTAAAACATGAATTTATTTATGGCTAAAAGGAGCAATCATTTTCTTTTGATGCAGGGGCAGACAGCTTAGAAGTCTGAACATCATATTCAAATTACAGTGACTGCAGACGAGCATTCAACGTATTTGCCAATAGTTGCTCCTGAACCACCTCCAAAAAAGCTGTTCCCAGTTACTGGTGCTCAATAATGCTTGGGGTTAAGGTGTCTAAACCTTCACACAAGGTAAAGTCTTCATTCCTTGTAACATTTTACTTCTTTCTAGTCTAAACAGGACCCCTGGACATTCCCCATCCTGTCTCACCAAAAAATAAAACTTCTGATGTTTTCCTCCATCTGCACCTTAGCAGCTTAAGCAAAGGCAAATACATTTATTACTGACTTAAATACCACAAAAACTCGGTACAGCAGAAGCCTAAAGAGAGCCACATGCCAATATAAATGCAAAGGGAACCCTCATTCCATGCTGCAGGAAGGAAGCCTGAAGGGAAGCTGAAGTTGGGTGCTGGAAGGCAAAACCAAGAGAAATCCCAAACCAGACCCACTCAGAGGGGCAACCCCAGCACCTAAATGATTTAATTAATCACAGGACACACTGAATTGCTCTCTGGGGGCTCCTGACAACTTCTGACTCATCACAGACGTCCAGATGTCCCCTGGATGTCTAAACCAAGGGAGAAGAACCTCCTGCCAAAATATCTGCAGCCACACAGCTCGTCGACACTGAGAGAGCATTTGACAGCAGCTTTGCAAGGGGCTGTGGATGCTTTTTGTGGGAATACATCAGGAATCAGAAGAAAAACCCAATAGCTTGTATCAAGTGACACAAAATCTTAGACAGAACAGAGTTGTGGAACAAGGGAATAAATGTTTCCTCTGCAAGGTGACACCAGGACATAAAGTCTTGGAGATTATCGAAAGCTTATATTGTCCACATCCTGCTTGTTAAATTAAAATAAAATAAAAATCAGGATCTTGTATTTTCTCAGCTTTGTCTTCCCTCTAGAAGCTCCTTAGGAAAAGAGGAGCTGCAGGAAAGCTGCACACTGAGCAGGCACGCTGAGTTTCTCCTCCAGCTGGGGCAAGGCAGGACCTTTGTGTTGTGCATTGTCCTGAAAAATCTCTCCCACAACAGCAAGAACAGTCTTGCTCTGCACTTCCTCTCCATCCACTCCCAATTACATGGGAGCCAGAGGCACACAGGTATTTTAAATGAACCACTAATGTTCATATAAGTTGCAGCTTAGGTCATCAAAGGTTTTGAAGGAGCCCAAATTACTGAACTTCCTGAACCGTGCGCCTGTTCCCACATGTGTACGACAGAGAGGAGGAAACAGCTCTGGAGAAAACAGGAAAAGTTCAAACTTGCACACACACAGGGCCTGGCAAGGGCTTATTTTTAAAGCTTTCCCACATGAAAGAACCTCAGCAATCAAAGCAAGTAAAACCAGGAGTTTATACTCTTAAAATATGGCCAATTATGTAGGTTTGAACAAATGTAAAAATAATTTCTAAAGCACGGCAGTAATTTGAGAGTGGCACTAAACATAAGATGCCACTTCTAGAGGCTCTGAAAGAGTCAAAGTCACAGCAATGGAGAGTGTTGAACAACCCAGCCACTCCCCAGTCCTTGGAGTAGAAGGATCTCTCTCCTCTGCACATCACCATAAATAAGAGGAGATTACACCTGGAAATGGAAGGAGGGGTTTGGTGACAGATTTGTGGGCTTCACAATCCCACCAGCAGGAAGCAATAATATCAGAGCAGTGGCTGCAGAGTGGGAGGGCTCAGGACAGATAACAGATGGTATTTAAACCCAGAAAAATCCCTCACTGTTAAAGCATTTTTCATGGTTCATCACAGCACAAGGCAATTTTCTTTTGAGGGATAAAGGTAGACCAAAGAGTGACTCACAGGACTGAACACAATGGGAGGATGGTTTGAAATCAGTGGAATTCACTTTGATTCAAGCATTCAGCTGTATTTGATCTGCTTATTATACCAACACTGAAGCACCAAACCAGATTAAAGGCAGTTAATTGAGCATGGAAAAAACACTGAATTTGCTGAATCATAAAATTCTCACTGTAAAAGAGCATTCTGATGTAAACTGGATTTCCTACTCCAGATGTAAAATCTAATTACACTTTTTCTTTGTGCATGTTGAAGGGATGGACTTACAACACATGAACAAAACCCACAATGGGTAGAAGAAACTCATCCTGTTTTGGGAACTGGGGCACAGACACTCCTAAAAGAAGCAAGTCCCTTTCTCATATTATTACCTGGCTAATTCCTGTTGGAGAATCAGAGCAGGAATTTCAAAAGGCAACCAAGACATTACATCCCTTATTGCCCCTGCAAGAAGGAAAGTGACACTATAACTGCAAATCTTCTAGATGCTCTTAGAAGCTCAAGTAATTAATGAGACCACTGGGAAACAGGGCTGTGTTAAGACCTCTATTTTGGAATCTGGCCAAAATCAACTGTTTTAAATGATCATCATCAACTTAATTGAGGAAAAGATGCTCATAAAGCAGTGAGAAGCCTTCAAACAGAAGGGGGTGTCTGTGATTCTCACAACGGCTATTGAGCTGTGTCTCATCAGCAAAACTTCCAGGAAAGGGTGGGAATGCAATTGTAACACTACCTGGGTGTAAAAAAGTGTGAATAGAATTTTATAGCACACATGGTGTAAAGTCAGGATTTTAGCAAAAAGTCAAAAAGGCTGAGTGTACCTTTTATCCTTTATCTTTGTCTAGAAAAAGAAATAAATTTGGGGTTGGAGCTGGATAATCTTTAAGGTCCCTTCCAACCCAAACCATTCTATGATTCTCTGAAGTTATTTAATGATGGTTATTACAGCTCTCACAGAAAGGCTTTTCTGTGCCCAGGAATTTCTGGGCTTCTTTCACAACTGATTAAGGAGTTTATGGAAACATCCCCCTGCCCTGCACATGAACCAAAACACTAGGAATGGGAAAACCTGGATGCTGTTTCCTGCTTCCAAGTGGAAAGCAGCATGCTTATCACTCAGCATCCTGCATCTCAGGGAAAAAAGGCCTCAGGGTATCAGAGAGGGCACTTGGAATAGCCCAAAAACCCCACCAGTTTGGCTTTTGTGCCCTGAATCAGCTCAGTCAGGACCTTTTCAGGCTGTGGATTGACGTGTTTCTGGAAAATTATAATCAGATTTTTCACTGGTGAAAGGAGAATATTCGTATTTTTTATGAACATGAAGACCAAATTAATTTTCCTCACAACTCCTGCACTCCATGTCATTTTGCTGTGGTGAGCTGTGGTGCAACGTAGCCACAACACATCCAGAGGCACAAAAAGGCCACAGCTCATGTTTTCACTCAGCAGCATCCACTGGGTTTGTGGTCTGAGGGAAGCTCCAAGACAGACTGGGCTCATGGAACACAGTTCGCACGAGAAGAGCAACTAATTCTTGTTTGTCCCTAAAACCCACCTTCAAGAGAGACAAGACTAATTTGTCTCTGCTAGAACTCGACCACACATCAAAAAACAAGGGACATTGGTTTTCTCCCCACGTTTGGAGCAGTACTCCAGTTACTAAGGACATTCTCTCAGTGGGAGAATTCCCTTTTATTGCTGTTCCAGTGGCTGCCTGGAACAAACAAACCCATCAGCTGTCAGTGTAAGGCCAAGAGCAGTGACAAGACGTCGTGCTCTTGGGAAGACAAAGTTTAAAACCTCAGCAGCAACATTTAAAAGCAGAAATTGTTGGGGGTCTTTTTAAAACTTTTGAAATGATAACAAGAATCACCCAATGCTATTTCCAGTATCTATTTCTAGGATTTCTTGAATATTTGAAATAAATTTTTGCCTTGAAACTCACAATGCAAAAAGGAGAATCTTAGCTAAGGACCTACATGGCCTTTGTGTCACAAATACAATCCAAAACACACACCAAGGATCTCCAGTCCATGGGAAGTGGATCTGACAGGGCCCATTCCCTGGAGTTCTGCTTGGAGCACCAGGGCAGCCTGCAAGGAGCCCCCACTCTTGGCCTGGGCTTCCACAAGTTGTGGTTTTGCCTCTGGAACCTCCAACCAGACACTTTTTCCACAGACAATTAAATAATGGTGAGTGAGCTGTGGGACGTGACGTTTAATTTTTCAATGACTGTGGAAAGGAACACGGGAGCTGCAGGCAAGAGCATTAATCTCCTCCAGATCCTCTGAGGTGCCAAGGATAGCAGCTCATTCCTCACGGTGCTAATGCTGCTCTTCCATCATTTCTGGGCACGCTGCAACAGGCAGAGCCGTGGCAGTAAATGTACACATTTATATGCATTCACCCACAGATTATTACATTGTTCACAGGGAGGCTGTGGATGAGCCAGGAATATAAAACAATATCAAGTATGATGTATGTGTTGGTGGGAAGACCATCTCATAAAGTGGCATGGGGGTAAGTGCCCAACAGAAGTCACAGCTGGAATTTATTCATAAATACACATCTCTGAAATTCCAGCCTGTTAAAGCATGTATGAGCCCTGGGAAAGAGGCAGCTTCTTCCCAGACCTCCTGCCCAGGGTCAGAAGAGCAACAATTCCTGAACTACTGAGGGAATGAACGCAGGTGTCTTTAATTCATGTACAAAGAAGAAAAATTTTCATGCTTGGAGCAAAAGAAAAATGCCCACATGTAATTTTTATGCAGATGAAAGGATGTTTTAGCATATTCCCTCCCACACAATCCATCCCAGGGCTCCTTGGCAAAGTCAGGCCTCCCCCTCTGTACAAACAAGCCCTTGCTCACTTTCAAAATCCTCTTTTGATGCCCACACAAAGGTATCCTTCAGATTTCCACCCAGCCTGTGCTCCATGTGCTCTCTCCCAGCAATCCCAAGCCTCTGCACCATTCCCACTCCCTCCTGGCTGGATGAACATGCTGCCCTCTCCAACCCTGTGCTGAACCATCCCAAAGGAAGTTGTGGGAGAAGCAGCTCCAAAGCCCAAGAGGAATAACTCAACTTTTCAGCAGACACCCCTAAAATAAGCATTCATTTCCATTAATTTAATTTTATTTTACATTATTATGGAGAGCTCTTCAACTGTTCCAAGAAGAATAGTCAGGGAAAAGGCTTATTCACTTCAAAGAGGACTGAGAAAGTTCAGCAAGTGCAAAGCAGGCTAAATATGTAAATATGTCATGGAATAGGCTAAAGTGCAACAAAAGTTTTGATGGGAACAGTTCTTACCGTATGAAAACCAGCTTGACCTTTGATGGGGCAGTTTTAATGATTGCAGAAGCATTCTGGTGGCTTCTTCCATACAATATCTGATTGTTTATCTGTTAAAAGAAAATTATTTTCATGTAATTGGAGGAGTACACCTTGTTCTAATTTATACCACCGAGAGTTCCAAGTTTACTGTGGGATAAGGAGATAAGACTCAAAGAAAATGTGGTCTCCAAATCTTGATCTATATAAAACAGGAACCAGTGCAGAGCTAATTTACTGTTATTAGTAAACCACAAACGAGAGAAATATTTTTATTTTTTTTCCCCCCCAGAGATCCCTTGAATGGGTTTTAAGGATTATTCCCAGATTTTTGGAAAAACAACTTGATCTGAGGAGAATCATAGAGATGTGACAAGAGCACAGATGTTTAGACAGACACTCCTGCACTTTGCCTGCAGGCTCTGGCCATTCAGGAAAACTGGCTGCTGAGACTGTGCTGACTCCTCAGTTCTGCTGAAGGAAGCAGGAGTGGGAGACAGGGAGATGAAGGACAATTTAAGGACGTGATGCTGCATCACTTCTGCTGTGATCTACACCTGAGGACAGCAGCAGACACCAAGCACTACTTTGGACACAAGGAAATGCTGCAGCTTTCAGGGGAAAACAGCCTGGCCACGACATGACCCAGGTGGGCAGCAGGGCCATGGCACTGGACTGGTCAGCAGTGGTGTGGCCACAGCACCAGGGCAGTGACCAACCCCTGTGGTGGGCACTGCTGAGGCACCTCCAGTCCTGGGCTCAGGTTTGGAGTCCCCAGTCAAAGAGGGACATGGAGGGGTGGAGTGTGTCCAGGGGCCCCAGGAGGGGCTGAGGGAGCTGGGAAGGGTCTGGAGCCCCAGGAGGGGCTGAGGGAGCTGGGAAGGGTCTGGAGCCCCAGGAGAGGCTGAGGGAGCTGGGAAAGGGGCTCAGCCTGGAGCAAAGGAGGCTCAGGGGGGACCTTCTGGCTCTGCACAACTCCCTGACAGGAGGGGACAGCTGGGGGGTCGGGCTCTGCTCCCAGGGAACAGGGACAGGAGGAGAAGGAACAGCCCCAAGTTACACCAGAGGAGATGTAGATTGATATTTGGGAAAATTTCTCCATGGAAAGGGTTGTCCAGCCCTGGCAGAGCTGCTCAGGGCAGTGGTGGAGTCCCCATCCTTGTAGGGATTTAAAAGTCCTGTGGATGTGGCACTTGGGGACATGGGGCAGTGGCAGCCTTGGCAGTGCTGAGAGAACAGTTGGACTCTGTGTCCTACAGGATTTTTCCAACCTAAACAATCCTATGCCTCAATACTGCAGTTTTTTCCTCCCACTCTAAATTTACAACATAATATTTACATTCACATTTGATATACCAATGCTGCTTAAAACAATAATGACAACAGAGCCCAGGAACAATTTAGTCGTGATTACAGAAGGAATTTTTGTTACTGCAGATGTTTGTATTGGATTCTGGGTTTGTGATCTTAGAAGGATTTTTTTTTTTTCATTCAAGAAGTATTAGGCAAAGTCTCCCACTCCTGGTGTGAGATGGGCTAGTCAGACACATTAGGAATATTCACAAATCTTATTTTCAGTGGGTCAAAACATGATACAAGTTCATCAGTTAAATAAGGACAATGCAAGGACAAGAATAATCCCCCTAACACTTGATTACTGATTGGGATTGAAGTGCAAAACTTTTACCTACTGAGTCTTTTATTGTACAAAGAGAGACCCAAGAAAGGTCTAAAAGGAAATAATATCACCATTCCCAAAGAGTTAATACAAGGTTCTGTCTGCAGCTGCCATGGTGGAAAAGGCAGGGTGAGAAGCAACATCCTGGGTCATGCTTCATTAATCAAACATCAATTTAAAAATCCAGTAGCAAAAATGAATGAATGCTCAGCTGCATTCTGGCTTCAAGCTCAACTTGAAATTTTCAGTGAATTTGTTGACTTAATTTCTCTAAGTTTGAGAATAAATTGTTCACTGGGAATACTGTATGCTTTAGAAATTGTTTGGATTTAGTTAAATTACCATCAATTTTCCTAAACAGCTGACTTCTTAGATTAAAATTTATAGTCTTTACTCTGGCTAAATTAATCCTATTCACTACATGTATCAAATAGTCCAAAATCTAATTAGCTGTGAGCTGGGTCTCTAAGTTATAATTATTTAATTACTCCAAAATGAAAGCATAATCAAAGTAATATATCTCCACAAGGTTTTGGACTGTCCTACAGAGTTATTACACCCAGCATTCATTTTTTTTTCTTTTTTCTTTTTCGAGTACACTTTATTTTGAAAAATAGATTAATGCTCCATTAGCTGCAGATACCAGAGTGATGAGCAAAACACCAAAGCCTACTTAAATAAAACAAAACAGAGAACATCTAGGATTTCAGAAGAAACACCACTTTAAATCTTTCAAATTAAATAAAGTAACACGTCAGATTAACCAAATAGTACTTTGGGAGTCAAAACCTATAAATCTGTGCTTTACTTTTTGCATTAGTGATTAGAAAAGAAAAACAAAGCCTCGACTAAGCAAAAGAAATAAACTGATCTAAATCAACCTCAACTCTTCTTTAAACGTCTCTTTCCATAATTCCTTGGAAAGTCAGCAGAGCTCAGAGAAAGATAAAAACTTGCTGCAGGTATGAGGTCAGGTCAGCACACAAGTTCAGCCTTTAATGTAATCACACATTGCCTTATGGCAGATTTAATCACAGATCCCAAATGTACTGTTGCCTTCACCTACAAGAATTTTGGTTTACAGTTTCATGCACTGAAGTAGCAGAAAGTACAAACTCACTGAAATCCGAGCTCTCGAGTTCAGAGGAAAAAAATCTCTGGGATTGTTTGCTTCTCAAACTTTAATTTGCAGAAGAGAAACATTAGATATGGATATTAAAATAAAAAACCCAACCCACACTGTTTTTACTACGTGGCAATAATAGAAATCCATAAAATTAGTATCATCTGATTTTTATGAAAATCAAGTTAAATGATACCCCAAAGCTAGTAAAAATACTAGCTTAGCTTTCTGTAATAATTATTTCTTTGTACAATGCACTGGGCTCCTTCTTACCACAGGAATTGTAACATTTCAAGATATAACCAGACTCTCTAAAACAATGGGGAAAGTTTCAAAACCTTTTTTTATCAGTCAAATTTTATATACTGAAACCCCATAAAGTACACCAAGCTCCCAAACAACAAAAGCATGAGGAAAAAATTGGAGAGAAAAACTAATTAGAACGTGAATTTCCCTCTCCTCACCAAATTTCTTGCTGGGCACATGTTCAAACATGTGCATCACCTAAAGTGATCAACAGACCGTAAAATCCGTAAGGACAGAAAATATCCTGCTCTGAGCTGGCAGCTGATCCCTGTGGTTCCCCACCTGGGGAGTGTGGAGAAAGGACATTGGGAAGCCACAGATTGCCTGTGCCCTCCTGCCCAGCAACCTCCCCCTCCCAGCTTTACCTGCTGCCAGCTTGAAAATCACAACCCCAAAAACCTGCAGGCAAAGCACACGGAGAAAGGATCTGCAGCCTCTTCTGAAAAGAACAAAAGGACACTGGAGCAGTTTGGCCAGAGCAGCTGGGGCTGCCCCATCCCTGGAAGTGCCCAAGGCCAGGTTGGACTGGGTTTGGAGCAGCCTGGGACAGTGGAAGGTGTCCCTGCTCAGGGAATGAGATGAACTTCAAGGTCCCTCCCAATCCAAACAGTTCTGTGATTCTGTTCTGTGATTCCACAACAAATAAACTGAGAATTAAATGCCAATTCCCCCACATCTTAGAACAGAAATGGCATTGTGAGTTTGGCTGGGGAGCTCATTTACTTGGGCAAAATACTGCTGTATCTATTATATTATTATAGCATAACTTCTATTTATCGAAGCACCTTAAAATAGCAATAAAAATGCATTTAGCACAAAAGCTCTCTGGCTTTGAGCTATGACAAAAATGGCATAAAGAAATAAAATGTAATAATTGTCTCTTGGGCAACAGTCCAGAATGGACAACAGGCAAACTTTTACAGCGATTTTTGACTCTGAACACTGGCTTTTACTCTTTCAAGAGGTGCTGTGGCCTCACAGAATAAAACACAGAAAGGTCTGGGTGGGAAAGGACCTTAAAACTCATCTCATTCCAACAAGCATCTATCACCATTGCTGGGAAGGGAAGTTCTTCCCTGTCTGCTTTCACTTTTCAGATCTTAAAGCCAGTTTAAACCAGCACCTGCACCCTTCAGCTGAAAAACTCAACATCCAAATGAGCAGCTTCTTATCCTGCCCCATCTCCATCAAGAGATGGCAGAACACCCCAACGTCAGTAATTCAGCATTAGAGGGCTCTGAACAGCCTGGTTTATTAATAGAGCTCAGTTGACTCTCTCATGGGGAGATGATAACAATAATAATAATGATGATAATAATGGTAATAGCAGGGTGGGTTGTTCAGTGTGAACAGAAGCTCCTGACAGGACAGGCCCATGCAGAGCTGAGGAGCAGCAGGACTCGAGGCACAGGTACAGCTCCAGGTGAACCTGCTGAGGGCCATGCTGGGCACAATCAGCCCCAGGACTGAGCCCAGCCTAACGAGACACGAAGCAGTGCAGACACCTGCACTAAACCAGCATGAGAGCGAGGCAGGAGCACCACAGATGGTTCCTCTGCTTGCAAAAAGAAAGGAAAAGCAGAACTTGTGTCCTGTAAGAAAAAAAATTCTTTTGCGCAGGGGACCAAATTCTGACCCAAGTAGTTTTCCCACATGTATAAAAGTAGTTTTCCCACATGTATAAAAGTAGGATGAAAGGGCCTTCTCCCCTCAAAAAGCTGTTTTCTCCAGCCACATACCCATCCCAAATACATCCCTGAAGAGGTATTAAAAAATAATGATCACATGAAGGTTTCTTACGTGACCTGCATTTCCCTCGATGTCAGGTTGTGAAAACAAGCCAGGATCATGCCCCCAAAAGGCTACTGCTGTTTGCAGAAGCTAAAAGTGAGCTGGTGTTTCATTAGTTCAGCAACGAAAGATTTTATGAATAAGGAGCTGAGGCAGTCTGGCAGCATCCCACATCCTTCAATTGAATCCAATCAAACTCCAGTTCAAAAGAAAAATGAACAGGTAATATCTGTCTGTGTAAATGGCCATCCCATTAACCTGAGCTCCATCAAAAGCCACAGGGAATAATCTGCACACCCTGCAGTGGCATCCTCAGCATTAATGGAGCAAGACTGCCCAACTGGGGCATCCCAGGACAGCCCAGAAATGCCAGAGGCTTCCCAAGATGTGAATCCCTTCTCTTGCTGAGACGTTCCAGTATTGAAAACTGAGGTGTAATTAAAGATGCAGGTGTAAACGTAGTTCAAACATGCAGTCAGGTGAGACAGACCAGACATGAGTTCTGTTATCTCACTGCACATGGCTAATGCACAACCCATCCCTTCATAATGCAGGATGTTTGGATTTATCCTTTTCTATAAGGAACTGTACTCCTGCTCACTGATGGCATATCTTAAATTGGATTGCAAAGATAAACAAGGTAGTTACTAAAGTCTCCTTGAATTTTTATTTGAATCTTGGCATTTTTGACATGGAGAATCTCACTTTCCTTCTACTGAAGGGAAAAAACCCAACATTTTATTTCCAACTTAACAGGGAATGAGGGCAACACCATCATTTGGGGAATGCTCTTTATAATGTGGCTCATCCAGGCAAAACCCAGCCTTGAGGTAAATGTGATTAATCCCAGATTGTGCCTCTTTCAAGCACTTAACTTTAGATTCTCTGCTCTATCAGGAACTACCTATGATATGAAGAGGAAAACAGTGCCATGAGTTCTCTCAACACACCCAAAATTTAACAATTTTCCCTTTTCTTAACATTAGAATTCAGTGTCAGGGATAGGAAAAACATAATTCTGAAGGAGAAAGCAATTTTCCTACCCTACTCCATTATGGTCCAGACTTTCATATCTTTTCTCACACTTAAAATGAAATCAACTTCAGATGATGGTGCTTTTATAGCTAAAAAAACTGTCTTCCTTGTACTATGTGTATTGAAACCCCCTAATTACAGAACTGTTAGACAATGACAAATGCTTGGACAATTCTGACTATTCCCAGGGTTCCCCCAGGCAGTCAAACTGCTCTTTCTTGAGTCAAGAAATGTGAAAAAAATAGGTGGTTTTCTGATTGCACAGAGAGTTGCTGAAAGATCAAAGCATCACCACCCACGGAGAGCAGCAGGTCAGCAAATCCCTGCTCCTCAGTGAGAGTCTCTCTCCAAGGGGAAGATCCCCAGGGATGGGTGATTTTTTTAAACCACTGAAGCAATCACGATGTGGGGAATCACTGCAGGTACTGCAGCAAAATGTCATTTTGCAACAGCCCAAAAACCCAGATGAAGTGAAGGAAAAGCTGTGTTTTCAGGCTGAAGGTGAAGCAAGGAGACTGGAGAAAAAGTGAAGACAAAATACTCCACTTGCTAACGAGCTCTCTTGCCTTGTGGGTGAACTCGTGCCAGACACAACTAAAGAAAATTAAGTATTTTAAGTTGCAACAGATCAAAACAGATTCTAGCATGAAATTTATTTTCAGGATGGGGAATATCCCTGTCATCTGTAGAAACACATATGGCAACGTTGAGGGGGTTTTGGCTTTTTTTTTTAACGTAAAGTGTGAATTTCCCTGTAAACCACACATGCACTCCAAGGATTGATTTAGTGTCCCCTTCCTGCCTTTCAACAGCCCCTCCCCACGCAGAGCTTGTGAACATGCTGAGAGCACAGACTTCGCTGACAAGACATTGCTTTTCACAGGCCAGTGATTTTTGTTTCACTGCAAACACATTTACCTGCCAAAGGCCAAGTTCTCAGTTGGCATAAATCAGCACAGCTCCTCGCTCAGCCACCTCATTCCACTTGCAGGCTTTAAATAAAGGTTCAAGATGCTTCTCCCTCCTTGCACACGCTAAAGGGAACAATTACCTCGAGGATTTCATCCCTAAAGTGCATCCAGGAAACAATTTTACCTCCAGGAGTTCATCCCCGATGTGCATCCGCCCGTCCCGTCCTGCGGGGCCGTCGGGATTGATCCCAACCACGAAGATGCTCATCCTGGAGCGGTCCTTGTTGCCAGCCAGGCTGAGCCCCAGCCCATTCTTGTCTTTCTCGAGCTCAATGATGTGCAATTCTCCCGGGAGATCTGCATATCTCTGCCTGATTTTTTCTGGGGAGGTCAAAACATAAAGGGAGTTAGAACATAAAGTGAGTTACGCGCAGATGTTCGACAACACACACAAATATGCCAGAAATTTATGGCTTCTCTGCAAGTAAGTGTTTTTAACAGAGGTCTTTTCAGCAAAGATTCTAAAATACCATTTGCTCTGTGTGTATCAGTCACACAGCAAAATGCAGCATCAGCTGCAAATGCTGTTCACGTTAAACCCACACTATTTTAATTATTTGTACAACAGCCTGGTTCCAAACCAAAACTTTTCTGAAAGGAAGGTAAACAAGGAAATTCCAGAGGCACCTTTACCGTACAAAACCTATCAAATACAGGAAACTCTCGTAAAGTTCGAGCTGGTTAATTAACCACTGCGGGGAAACTGAAGCACTTAATGGCTCAGACATGACTGCAAGCTCACATCTCACGGCAAAACCTTCTGCTCCTTCCTGGTGACTCAGGGATCTTCTCAGCACGCTCTGCTTAACCCAACGGGCTGATTACGCAGAGCAGCTGTCAGTGACAATGGAGATGAGTGATTGCATTTTTAAATGCAGCCTCACCTGATATTAAGGTAGTTATTTGTCTTTCAACTGCATTTCAAGCGTTCCTGTGACAGAGCTCGATGTATTCACAAAGTTATTGAGAGCACACAGCGGGGCTGGGGATGCTGACAGGTTAATCTGAGTGTCTTTTCAGCACTGGCATACAAGCATCTATCACCATTGCTGGGGAGGGCAGTTCTTTCCTGTCTGCTTTCCCTTTTCAGATTTTAAAGCCAGTTTCAACCGCCACCTGCACCCTTCAGCTGGGCCACACATTTGAGAAAGCAAGTCAAAGTATATCCCTGTGGCTGCGTGTCACCTTTAGTACAGAGCCCAAGGTGAAAGAAACTGCTGCATTATGCATGAAAAGGAGAAATAAGGGATATTATATGTTCTGCCATATCCCTGAGTCAGCAGCAGGAGCTAGATCAATATTAGCTACTACCACTCTCCTGGGGAAGCATATTTTAATAGTATGATTTAACTGCTGTAGTGAATGTTCCCATGACAACAAAAAAGAGGGAAAAGAGCTGGGGAAGGTGAGAGGGGGGCAACCAAAAGTGAATAAAAACTGCTGAGAAGAAAGATGATGAGGTAGAGATGCCGCTTCCACAGCCCCTGTGCTGTCAGGGGTGATTTAGCTGAACATGGGACATTCCAGTAGCTCTTCTCTCCAAGGGTCCTTCCTGAGTAATTGTTCCAGCTGCAGCAGCCCCTTGTGCCTTGGCAGAGCCCACTGGGATGTGGAGAGCAGCTTCCCATCTCCAGCCCCAGCTGCACCCAAGAGAATTACCCACACTGAGAGCAGCTCAGGCACCAACCAGCTCTCCCCTTGCCGTACTTACAGGCTGGCATTTTCAATATCCCCAGTGCCCAAGCCTAAAACCTCCAGGATGTACAATCAGGATGAGATGTTATCCCTGGAAAGTTGCTAAAGCCCTACAGGGGTCTACACAAAATCAGAGTATCACCAAAAGAAGTGAGAAAGCTCATTTGTTATTATCAATTATATGCCCCAAAAAATTCATGTAACTGTGCTAAATGGCAATCCATGTAGCTGCATGGTTCTTTAATGTATTTTTTAACTACTGTGCTCAACATGTAATTAGAGGTTTGGTTTGCTACATGGATTTGGAAACTTTTGTCTTCTTTAGAACAGCAAGACAGGAAGGGTCACAAAAATGGTGTTTCTGAAAAGCAAAGGAGATACGGCCACACCTGGTTTGTTCATAGCACCAAGGTTTAATTTCTTTGCCCACAAGGCCAAGACCAGACCTAAAAAGCTCTAAGACATTTGCTGCCCACCACAATTAGACAAATAACCCACTACAGCACAGCAAGGAGCTGCAGCACACCCCAGAACAGGGCACCAGCAGAAAAGGGTTTTTCTTCCTGATTGCATTTTTGTGGCTAAAACTAAGAATCGGAGCTGGAGGGCTGCTGTCCATCACTGTGCCACAGCTCCCTCCACTGCTTGTTGTACACGGGTAACACATCTCACTTCTGTTTGCCAGGAGCAAGGAACATGTCTAAAGCATAATTTTAACTACTCACAGACGGCTGCACAGACAGGAGCTGAAGGAGCAAGGAACACACACACATTTAAATGCAGTGCAGATGAAGCTGCACATCTTCAGAGACCGCCTCAAAACTCATTCCTGGCTTGTCAGTAAAACCACTTGAAATTCCCCAGCATGAGCACCCCTGCAAACACACACTGCTCCAGCCTCTGCCTGCAGACAAAGTCCCTCTGAGACTAAGTCTGTAATTCCATGGTGCTTCCTCCTCAAAATGAGTTTTCTCACATGGGAGAAATGTTGGCAGCTCAGAAGCACATGTATATTCCTTTCTGAGTTGGGCTGAAACTAAAAGTGAGCTTTAGTCCTTCCGAAATCAGTAGTTTGGGTAATTGCCTGGGATGGGACAAAGCCCCACTAAAATTCCTGGTCTGCCCATGTTGGGCCAAGGTCTGGAAATCCGGTGAGTTGAATCCCAGCTGTGCCAGAATGTCCTGCTGTGGGAACAAATCTTTGGGGAAAGAAAAAATTAGAGACGTCCCTGCTTTTAAAATCAACCCTCCCCTAGCACAGGCTGCCTCCTCCCTGGCCAACAAGAAGGTTCTGGCTGTCCCCAGTCCCATCTCCTGCAGTTCAGCCCTTGGAAGGGCTGTCCTGGCCAGGGAATAAATGACAACAAATTCCCAGCGGTGCTGCCTTACTCATCCAATCTGCATACAAATATCCTCTGGGCATCCAGCTGACTTCCTACAGCACTGCCATGGCAGTCTCAGTTTGCCTCTTAATAAGGATCTCACAAGATTATTTTAAACAAGTATTAACTGCTTAAACAAACCCCTATCTAAGGCATCTTCTTTTAAATGCCTTTTTCAGCTGTTTTTTCTTCCCTCCAGCTGGTATCAGTTTTCAGCTGCCTGCCTAGGGTTGGGGAGCCAGTTAGCATCTGCTTTTGCAAAGAATTCCATTATCTGCCTTCATTACCAGATACTTTACACGAGGCAATTGTAATTCTGTTGTTGCTGCATCACACATGGGACACGGCTCTCTTGTTTTGGCACTGCACGGGGCTGTTCCCACATTCGGTGACAATATGCCCATCACAACTTCTGCAAACACATCTCACCGAGGATATTTCACCGGCTAATACTGCAGCCAGCTTCTCTTAAAAATACCGTACAGATGTAGCATGAGCCAAAAGCACGAGTAAACTCTTCAGTAATCGCTCCTGCAATGATATTTCCCAGTTATATTAGCAGATAATTACATTTCAAAGGGAAACCCTGGAAATGGAAGACAACTGCACTCAAACAATCTACTGTTATGCTGCTGCATATGTTTTCCTGCCTCAGCCACTATTCCTATTATATTAAACAGAGAGATAAAAGAAATAAATGGAGACAATATGGTCAGGATATTGGAGTTTGCATGATCTAGTACTGCAACAAATACACAATTTATCTGCAACACCAGAACCAGACACCACTTCTCAGGAAGGCAAAAGGCTCTTTAAATGACAGATATATAAAGCACTTGCAAAGGGCTGAAGAGCCTTTCCCAAAGCTGCTGAAATCTCCAGTTAACTGAGCTGAAAGGGAAGAGGTGCTGCTTTGGAAAATGGTGTCTCTGTGTGATGCAAAAGAGAGTCCATCCAGAAAAGGTAAAAAGAGGAAAGAAAAGGCTCTGGATGACTCAGTGATTTTGTTTAGTACCAAATGCTCAGTATTACAAATGTCAAGGCAAAATATAAAGAAAAGGAAAGAGGAAAAAGACCACAAAGAGAGACAACAGCTGATATTTGAATATAGAAGGGATGCTGAGGATTTTCCATCCCTCTTGTGTCACCTCAGATCTCTATTAGCAGCATATGCTGGCTTTTGGAGATCTCATTTATCAGCCTGTGCTCGTTCTAATACGTTTATCTCCCGTTTTTATCCCACAGCACAAATCCTGGTTACAGCCCTGGCCCTTCCCAGGCAGCAGTGCTGCAGCACCACTGCTCCTCACTGGTGACAGACATCAGAATGCAGGCAGCATCCACTGCACAGAGCCAACCTTGCATATCAAACAGCCAATTCCCTTCTTCATTTCACTACAAACATTAAAAAAAATTAATGTAGGAAGTCCCTTGAAAGCTAACCCTAGAGCTGTGAGGGCAGCACGTCTAATTTACTGATTACAATTTACAACAACCTAAATAAGCATATTGAAGGGGCCATAATTGAACAAATGGGGTTTAGAATTCTCCCATTACTAATAATATAATAAGCTTATTGTTTTAATCTTCCCACTAGCCCTCTATTCAGCTCCAAGGAGGCAGACAGTTCTTCAAACCTTATCTCAAAAGTGATGCACTCATCATCATCAGCTTTATGAAGTTTTCGTAAGCTTTAAAGAAAAAATAAGAGTATTTCTGTAATGCTTTTCTAAATTCCATTAAATCACAGCAAGCATGAGAAACAGGGCAGTTGTATTCAAAAATCTAAATGGAAGGGCCAGAGATCCTGTTCTCACCAGCCCCCCTCCCTCTGGTGATGAGAGAGGTACATCCTTGTAAGTGCAGGGGGCAGAGAGAGTTCCCCACCTGACCCAGAGACACATCATCCCCTACCATGTCCCTCTGACATCCCCTTGGCAGCACTTTGCTCCATGTACACCATTTGGAAATCATTTACCAAGCCTGAAGTGATGATTTGCAGAATAAAACAAAACTCAGCATTCCTATTTTCCCTTTGGCAGACTTCGATTAATTCTCCCAGTCAAGAAAAAGAGCTCCATGGCTCTTTCTTCCCCAGAATACTGTCAGCCAAAATACTCTAACATTAATTTAAATTCCATGATGGAGAGAGCATGCAGCAGGTGCTACAAACAGCCCAGGTGTGGGCTACACACCCTGACAAATACAGCTCATGCGGCCTCAAGTGAAAACAAGCAGGCATTA